CACACATCTCTCAAAAATACAATCTTCAGTAGTGTTTGTAAATTCATCTTTCAATTTGTAACAATATTGACCAAGTCTAAACAATGTTTAAACTTGACCGCAGTTACCACTTTTGTCAACATATCAGCAGGATTTTCAGTGGTCCGAATCTTCTGGATTATGACTCCACCTTCTTCTAGAATCTCTCGTACAAAGTGATATCGAACATCGATATGCTTCGTCCTTGCATGGTAAACTTGGTTCTTTGCTAAATGAATAGCACTCTGACTGTCACAATGCACTTTGATGTGCTTCTGTTCCATTCCCAATTCACCAAGCAACCCATGAAGCCAAATTGCCTCCTTCACAACCTTTGTAACTGCCATATACTCTGCCTCTATAATAGACAAAGCCACTGCTGACTGTAAGGTGGACTTCCAACTGACTGGTGCCTTTGCAAATGTAAACACATAACTAGTAGTTGATCGACGCTTGTCCAAATCACCTGCATAGTCTGAATCACAATACCCAACTACACACTGACCATCTTGTTTGTTCTGCTGAAAGACCAAACCAACATCTACTATGTTCAGAATATACCGTAAAATCCATTTCCCAACTTGACAATGCTCCTTTTCAGGATCATGCATATACCTTCTCACAACCCCAACTGCTTGTGAAATATCGGGTCTTGTACACACCATTGCATACATCAAGCTACCAACAGCACTTGCATACGGAACCTTTGACATGTATTCCCGTTCTGCATCATCCTTAGGTGACATGGATGCACCGAGCTTGAAATGAGGAGCAAGAGGTGTACTAGCTGGTTTTGACTTCTCATTCATGCCAAAACGTTTTAGTATCTTCCTCAGATATTGTTTCTGAGACAAACAAAGCCTCCCCAATTTCTTATCTCTTGATATCTCCATGCCTAAAATCTTCTTTGCTTCACCAAGATCCTTCATCTCAAACTCCATGTTCAATTGAGTCTTTAGTTTCGCAATTTCTGTCTGACTCCTGGAAGCTATCAGCATATCATCAACATAAAGAAGAAGATATATATAGGATCCATCTTGTAGCTTACGTAAATACACACAATGATCATATTTGTTTCTTGTGTATTTCTGCCCTATCATAAACTTGTCAAATCGCTTGTACCACTGCCTTGGAGATTACTTCAATCCGTACAACGATTTTTCTAATTTGCACACCATCCCTTCTTTTTCAGAAACTTTGAATCCATCTGGCTGAGTCATGTAGATTTCCTCATCCAAGTCTCCATGTAAAAATGCAGTTTTTACATCTATCTGAACTAGTTCCAAATCCAACTGTGCTACCAAAGCTAACAAAATTATGATGGAGGAATGTTTTACAACTGGAGAAAATATTTCATTATAATCAACTCCCTCCGTTTGAGCGTAGCCTTTAGCCACCAATCTTGCTTTGTAGTAGATGTTATTCTTGTCAGGAAATCCATCTTTCTTTGCATATACCCACTTGCACCCAATTGCCTTCTTTCCCTTCGGAAGACTAGCTAGTTTCCACGTTTGATTCTTTTGAAGGGATTGCATTTCTTCATTCATGGAGATCCTCCACTTTTTATGTTCTAAACTTTGGACTGTTTCATTAAAAGTGGCAGGAACGTCATCAATTGCAATTGGTGATGCAAAAGAGACCATATCAGCATAACGAGCAGGTTGTCTAATGGTCATTTTTCTCTTTCTGAGTGCAATTGATTCATGTTGCTGTGGAGGTTCTTGGGTCTGAACCTCTTCTTCATTTGACTCTTCTTCTACCATAGGAGAGTCAACATCAGTTTCTTTACTGGCTGAGTCAATTCTGTTTCCTTCAAATTCCACCTGTTTGGGAGTTCCATTTGTCTGCTCTAATTTTTCTGAAGTCACCTTTCTCAACATGGTAGATTCACCTTTCACACCAGAGGTGATCCCCATAAAGATCGCCTTCTTTGCTCTTGGATCCAGCTTTGACTCCTTAACATGGTAGTATGCAGTGGAACCAAACACATGTAAGGAATCATAATATGTAGCAGGTTCTCCAAACAATTTCTCTAATGGTGTTTTACCACCAATAGCAGTCGATGGTAAGCGGTTGACAATGTGACAAGCATAGACCAAAGCTTCAGCCCAAAATTCTTTGCCTAACCCAGCATTAGACAACATACACTGAATCTTCTCCACTAATGTCCGGTTCATACGCTCTGCCACCCCATTCTGATGTGGTGTAGATCTGACAGTGAAATGCCTGACAATACATTCTTCTTCATAAACTTTCAGAAATGGATCATTTTTGTACTCTCCATCATTGACTGTACGAAGATGTTTGATTTTTCTGCCTGTTTGAGTCTCCACCATCTTTTTTCATTTAAGGAAAAATCCTAGCACCTCATCCTTTGTCTTCATTGTATACACCCAAACTCTCCGGGAAAATCATCAACAAAGGTGACATAATAGTGTGTTCCTCCCAATGAAGTTGTCTTGGAAGGCCCCCATACATCTGAATGAACATAATCCAAAATACCTTTAGTATCATGGATTGTTGTTCCAAATTTCACCCTCATCTTCTTCCCTTTGATGCAATGCTCACAAAAAGCTAATTTGCAAGCCCGAGCACCCTTCAATAATCCTTGATCTATCAGCAATTTCAAGGATTTTTCACCAACATGCCCCAAGCGCATATGCCATAACCTGGTTGCTTCTGACTCCTGTTCATCAGTAGAAGATGACACTGCTGTTGTCCCAACAATTGTACTACCCAGAAAGTAATACACATTGTTTCTTTTCCGGATTCCCTTCATTATCACCAGTGCACCAGAGATAATCCTCATAATCCCATATTTTGCCCTCACTTCTAAACCTTTTGACTCTAAGGTTCCCACAGAGATGAGATTTCTCATTAAATCTGGTACATAATGGACACCTGTTAAGGTTCTGATTGATCCATCCTGATTCCTCAAGCGAATTGAACCAATCCCAAGTGTGTCAAGAGGGAATTTATTTGTTGTGTAGACAATTCCACCTTTTAGTTCTTTAAAATCAAAGAATCATTCTCTATTGGGGGTCATATGGTGGCTACAAGCTGAATTTAACAGTCATGAACTGGAACAAATGGTTGATGGCGTAGCAGCGAATGCGAAATCTGAATCTGTATCATCATACTCAACCACATTTGATTCTGAGACAGCCTTTCCCCTTTCAGGTTTGCCTTTATTCTTTAGCCTCGGACATTATTTCTTCCAGTGCCCTTTTTCTCAACAAAAGGCACATTCATCTTTGTTCAATCTGGACTTTGACTTCGATCTCATTCTTCTTCATTTATTCTGACTCTTCGAACGGCCTCTAACAACAAGAGCTTCTGCTTCGACACTTGTATTTTCTTATTTGTCTTTCTTTCTCAATTCATAACTATACAAGGCAACAGTTACTTCACTGAGAGACACATCAACCTTCCCATGAAGTAGAGTAGTTTCAAGATACTCAAACTCATCAGGAAGTGATCCCATCAACATCAGAGCCAGATCTTCGTCTTTAAAAGTCACGTCCATATTCATCAGATCAGTCACCAGCTGATTAAAGCTAGTAATGTGATCATTCATAGTGGTATCTGGTACATAGTTGAAGCGGAACAATCTCTTTTTCATGTAGAGCTTGTTCTGACCGCTTTTCTTCAAAAATTTCTCCTCCAGTGCCTTCCACAATTTACTTGCAGAAGTTTCCTTAGAAAATGCATACTTCTGCTCTCTAGAAAGACACGATCGAATAGTACCACATGCCAATCTATTGATTATATTTCATTCTTTCTCCTCAACATCATCTGGTTTCTCTCCTTCAATAGCAATGTCTAGACTCTGTTGAAATAGGGCATCTAGAACCTCACTTTGCCACATGCCGAAATGACCGGTACCATAAAAAATCTCCACTGCAAATCTAACATTTGTCACAACATTTCTTACGGATTTTTTTGTGTCGTCTGCCATTTCTGTTACAAATTCTATTTAATAGTTGTCAATGCCGAATGTCAAATACCCCAAGGAAAATTTTTCTGATGTGGAAGATCAACCTAAGCCGCAACCACAGAGCATACTAAAATAAACCAAGAGCTCTGATACCAATTTTTATGGAATTCGGGTTAATTTCCATCAATAATAAAAAATTCACCTTGAAAACTATTATCTAGGTGACTAGTGTGAAAACGATTATACTAAAAATCACCCAAAGGTAGATTCTCATGAAAGAGGAGGGGTCACAATGGTCCCTCTTAAAATCCACTTTCCTTATACAGAACTATCAAGACAAATAATTTTAATAGGACAATAATTAACAACAGCTATACCCGACAATAGCTATTAAATAGACATAAAGAGAACACCAAAATTTAACGCGGTTAGGCCAAAATTATGCCTACCTCCTCGAACACTACTAAAATAATATTTCACTAATAGAGGAAATATTACAAAGAGAAAGAGTACAAATAGCCTTTAATAGTGAAGAATGTTTATATTTGTGGTATGCTAAACTAAGGAGGAGGAGGGCTCTATTTATAACAAAAAAATTTCCCCTCCTCCTTATACACAACCAATGTGAGATTTTGCCAAAAAACCAACAACATCCTAATTGGTTCATAAGTTTGATAACAAAGACAGTGATTTGGCCAATAGTATATAGTTTAGGGGCGCTTTTAAAAAAAACACATATAGTAAATTGAGAAAAAGTTATAATTTTGGGGTAAATTATTAATTAAGCCTTCTTCTATTCTCTCATTCGTCTCCTCATCCCTTCCCCAGGAGTGGGCATTGGTTGAAAACCCAGTGGCTTAGTCCTTGAGTGCGGCTCTATTCCATTTTCTTTCAACCTCTATGCATCAAGTTCGAAAATAAAAACACACAACCAATTGTTCATGATTTACAGGTTTCGAATTCAATAACCAAACATGACGTTATTAAAAAAAAGTAATTGAATAAACACCTTTATTTCCTTTCTACAAGTTTCCAACAAATGGATCGTACAGTTTTGTGAATCGGCTTAGGCGAAGTTTCGCTGAGTGATAAAGTCTAAACAGGTAATGAGAATTATGTCTAGATGTCATGACATAGAGACGATACGTGTGTAGAGGAACTCATTCCACGTGTCCGGTAACCCGGGAAGGCACCAATGGATACAATCTGCAAAAGTGGCCGGATCAGCCTTTTGTTCTATGGTAAGCATCTTCCCTCGTCGGATGGTATAGACCGAGGTATGTGCATCTTTTCTGTATTCCGAAAGGCTCGTAATGTTAATAAAATGGACCTTAACTTTCATGCTTTGAGTAATGTTGTTGGCAATGACAAATAGCCTGCGGTCAGTGCCTACGTCTAGGTACATTGACTGGTTCAGAATTGGGGTAGTTTCCAGGGCACATCTGATCCCATCTGGATTGTTCCAGTCCAAGCTCCTACATATATATTGATTATCTTTTTGGTTAAGCAAGTAGAAGAAAATGACAGAAACTTAGAAGGATGGCAAGTTATTTATTACTTGATATGAAGTGGAGACATGCTGTTGAAGAAAACAGTGGTCTGATTCGGATTCACGTTTTTCTCAACCCATTTAGACCATGTTTTCAGCACTCTTCTATACGCTACGGTTCGTTTGATCTCGTCGTATTCTGCATCTCCTCGTTTGAAAGATCCTCGCCTGTTACGTCAATCCGAGAAAGAAACACACACACATCAGATCAGTTCAGTTAAAAACCAAACACTGTCGAAAATGTTTTCAATTACTTACAAGATTTTCATGGTGAAAGTGTTCATCCACCAAATGTATGTATTGAAGACCAAATAGTCGACGTCTTTCCAGTTCTTGCCATGTTTGTTGATTGATTCAGGCATGATTATACGATCCAAGATGTTGTGGCTTGTTGGGTCGTCTGAATTTGATTGAACCAGAAAAGGAGCCCAATAAAACTCCACTGTCGCATTGTAGTCCTGAAAATACAAATTTTAGACAATCATAATTACTCCACTGTGGTCTAGTCGAAAGCTGACGGTTCGGATTAATTTGTCATTCCTAATTCCATCTAATCTTTGAGGAGTGGGAAGTTTTACCTCAATTCTGAACACAGATAGAGACCCCGTTCTGTTCAAGCTCTTCCTTCCTGGAGGGACAGCAGATTGAACCAGACAAATCATGGATTCCCATTGATTTCTGTTTAGTGAATCTCCAACGAACATAAGCCTTTTGTTCCTCAGCTTCTCAAGCAATAATCTCGGTTTGTACCTTGGACCAGAAGAAGAAAAAAAAGGTAAGAATCATCAGCATCTTCAAAAGAACATAAAATTCCAGTTCAAGAGCTCATAAAGATGGTCTCACTTGGGAAGATTACAACCTCTAGGTTGCCATCTCCAATTCTGATACAAAGAATCCTTTCTTCCATTCCTCATGCAAGTAACTTGCGCTGTAAGAAACTCACACTCGTCTTCTTTGTATAAAGGATGTGTTACGTTGTCAAAAACCCATTGTCCGATGAAGAGATCACAGTCTTTCGGAGGCAATTCGACATCCTCATCGTCTTCTTCAATGACTGCAAGTGCCTCAGTCTTTTCTTCTTTATTATGCTCTATCTTTTGTTCATCACCTTTCACAACTATGGTTTTTATGACATAGTCATCAGTTTCCCTTATCAAGTCTTCAGTTGAAGCTTTGAAATTAAACGACGTGACCTCATTTTCTTTATGGTTCTTGACAGATTCTTGAACTGGGTTGCCTTGTTGGGATTGCTGCCGCTCTTGGATTTCGCTGGCTTTAGAGGTTGAAAACGGGAACTCCGCTATGGACTTCACGTCCTCATTGTGCATAAAAATCACAAATAAGAACACAGAGAAAACTATAACAAATATGGAAAATTTGTTGCTTTTGCGTTGCTTCATCGCTCCTGTCTCGCTTAAGATCAGAGTTTTACGACCACCCTGGGCCGCGTGAGACGAATATATATAGAGGAAAAAGAAATGAAGAAATGCATATGTTGGGGGAGCACATAAATTAGGTTTATTTAGTTTAACTTGGGGTTGGTGAGGAGGGTTTTTCTTCAGATGAAAACTGTTTAGAATTTGCTGGTGGAGGCAGAGTTTCTTTCTCAAGTTTCATTTTCTACCTTCATGGTGAAACTATGATTTTTAATCCCTTCATTATGATAAAATATGGGATTTAATCCATTCCATATAATATTTTTAATAGTCAGAATCTCTTTTTAGTTATTGATAACCCACGTACACCCTTAACTACTCAAACTAGGGACCTATTTAAATGGATCAAAGCTTAAGATTCAATTCAAAGCTTGCGCAGGTCGGTCTTAATCAAAACTAAAATTGGGAGTTTCAAGTGGTAGGGGTGATGTTCTAACCTATAGGGTAGACCCCACTAGAATATGATATGGGAGCTTTTATCAGACGTGGAAACTTGTTGGCTTTCACTTTCGATTTTAGGTTCTCCCCCTGGAATTTGGAACTCAAGATCGAAACCCTTAACAACCAATCAGATGGTTTGAGTCTGTCGGATCAGATGAATTGAATGGCCCTGATGCATTTCAGAAATTGTTTCCTTGATGGGATTAGATTAGGTAGCAAATGTTGCAGAAGATTAGGCAAAAAAGATCCTTCAATCAGTTTCATGCATCAAGCTGAACAAAATTCTTTCAGTGTCGCTTGCAGAGTACAATATAATTGAGAGGGCATGTAGGTCAATTTTTATTTGTATATTAGTGTTGAAACTAGATTGGATATTGTATATTAATGGACATTATTTTTAATAAATGTATGATTTTTTAGATTTGTGTTTTTATTTATAAAATTATTTTACAATTTGAAATGGTTTACAAAAATTTTACTTTTTTGGATTTTTTGTGGGTCGTTCCGGTGGCTCTAATATGACACCTCAAACCGGATCGATTCACTCGTATCGATTTGAGGGTGTTACATTTCATACTAAAAAAAACCCATAATAATGGCATTTTTTTTTTGTCAATGTCATGAAAATGCCTCTTAAACTCTCAATTTCTTCCCTTCTTTTCCATTTCTAAATCAATGAAATGCCAATAAATAATAACCATTTTCATAATGCCACACATTTTTGTGTGAGAGCGTATGTAAATAATTGCTAAGCATATATAATGAATAACTTAGATGATACTTTTATGTTTACTAATAGAAACTTAATAATTTGTCATTTGTGGGTATGGACGGACTAAAATTTCATAATATTTTCATGATCATGATTCTTTTTTAAGTGGAGAATCGGTGAGCAATTTGGAAGTTGATCATCATCTTGTTTTCCCTAAATCCCCATGTTTCACGTCAAATCATCACAACGAGTTCATTTTCTGCGTGACATCTATTCCATGAGGAAAAAGTAAGTGGTTATATTTATAGTTTATTGAATATTTTCAATAAGCATTTTAAAGACGGTCTTGGCTCTTCCATACCACTACTACTACTACTTTGACTTACATGTACCATACTGTTGAAAAAAGTGGGTTAAATGAATTATTATACTAATGATACGCATATTTTACATTTTAAGAAATAATTTATTCGATCGTTTCGATTTAAAAAAATATATATAAAAAAGACTGATGAAATTATGGTCAACAATGAAAAAAAGTTAATTAAAATGAATATTTGATATTATGTTCACGAGTTCGAGCACCAACGATTATATAAAGTAATTGAACATTTATTATCAAATTATCAAAAGTATTTAAAATATTTATTATATTTGTAATTACTTTAATTTAATAAAAAAAATATTTGATTAAGATTGATACGGAGAGAAATAACCGCGCTTCTCCTGCCAATAAAAAATGGAGTTTCATGTTCTATGTTTATTCTTCAATATCAATCTTAATCAAATTTCATCCCCCGAAATATACTATTGTGCATCTTAATAGTTTGGTACTAATAATAACTATTTGTAAACTATTTTTTTCCCCAAAATTTAGTTTTGAAAAGTTTGAAATTCCGTCTTCAATCGATAGGAATGTAGCTTTCCTCAGATTTTTTTTAATTGTTGCGCGCAAATTTAATCATAATTAAGATTTTGGTTAATATTTTATTCATTTATAAAAGATTTTAGAGGCCACGTCTCAAAATATATTTTGGATTTTCAGTTTCTTGTATTTTCATACTACTTCAAGTAGACCTAAAGCAAACGAAAAAGCTTTAATTATTTATTATATAATAAAAGGAAAAATTAATACATCTTAAATAAAATAAAATAAAATAAATAATATTTTTATTTTCATTAATAAAATATAACATTAAAACTAATTTTGTTAAAAAATAGTTTGGTGACCAAAGTAAAGAAGATGTAATAAGCTGATGATAATTGTATAGTTTATTCTTAATAATAAAGATAAAGTATGAGTCATAGGCATGTAAATGAACCGAACGTTCAACGAATCGTTTGTGAACCGTTCGGCGGGAAGTTCGTTTATGTTTGTTTATTTATTAAATGAACGAATATGGACAAGATTTTGTGTTCGTTTAATTAAATGAACAAACACGAACATAGGGCTCGTTCGTTCATTTACGTTAGTTAACATTCAGTAATATATTCGTTCATTTATGTCCGTTTATGTTTGTTCATTTATGTTCATTTCTGTTCATTTATGTTCGTTCGTTTATGTGTGTTCATTTATGTTTAGCTCAATCTCTCTAGACCCATTTAAAATATTAAAACCCAATAAATTTTAATATGATACCCATAAATATTTTAAAATTCAATTAATTTTAAATAAAAATAAAAAAACCCCAAAATAATTAAATAAAATATAATCTTAAAATTGTTAGGAAAGAAAAAAAAATCTATTTTCATTTATATTCGTTTATGTTTATTTATTGTGTTCGTTTACGTTCATTTATTGTGTTCGTTTACATCTGTTCGTTTATGTTCATTCATTTGTGTTCGTTTATCATTTAAATGAACATACATGAACGAACACAAACAAGCTACATTCCTTAACGAATGAACAAGAACAAGAAATTTTTTGTTCGTTTATGTTCGTGTTCGTTCATTTGTTCGATTAAAGTTAAACGAACAAACATGAACATATCCCCGTTCGTGTTCGTTCGGTTCGTTTCCAGACCTAATGAGTCATGTGAGAATTTTAGTCGATTTGAACTTGAGTCGAGTATTATACCTCTTCAATCATCACTTGACTCGATCAGGTTTTAAGAGGAATTCGTTCTGATTTGATTTATGTGATAAAAACTCGCACTTGATCTGACACAAATACATATATTAATTTTTTTATTCGATAAAACATGAATCTAGTTGAAATATATATATAGGAGATGTTATAGTAGTTATCAATAAATATATAAGACTAATTGTATTATTCTTTTGCGTCATAGATTTTTCACTATAAATATGAACTCAATTTGATTTTATCCTTAAAAAAATTAACCCGAATAAAAATTTAATTTTAATAAAAAATAATTCTATCAGTTTGACTCATAACCCGTCGAGTTCGAGTCTCATGTCCATCCCGATGTGTTATTGAGATATACTCAAATGATCATTTTAACTATTGAATTTTAAAAATTATTAAAATTTTCAAAATATTATAAAATAATTATTGATATATTATAGTAATGGTGAAATTTTGATAAATTATATAACTATTTTGTAAAAGTTTGATAAAATTTAATGGTTATTTTATAACTATTTTATAAAAATAATTATTTATTTTATAATTTTTGATAGTTTAATAACTAAACTGATCGTAAAAAATAGTGTAGTGACCTCTTATGTACTTTACCCATACAAATATCCGTATGTTCCCAAACACGGCTCCTTGAACGCTCTAAAAACCTGAAAGTCCTACATTTTCAAACTATTTCATTTCTTCTCTCTTGCCAAATGAAGCTGACGAACGAAACGCCCCCTTTTCCGTCGTCAAGCTCGACTGTTTTAAATGACGAAATCATACTCCCTTATTCTTTCCGCCGTTGGTTTCTATACCGTTATCTCTTTATCTCCGTTAATCCATGCTCTGGGTTCTGGCTCAACTTTCGCCATCGTAGCCGTCGATCCAGCCCAACGCATTATGTTAACATTTCTTCAAGCAAAGAAAACAAGAAAGTGTAGTATTGAGTAATACTTCTTTTATTGCGTGTGTAATATGTACAAGCTATTAATGCATTTATACACTTTGATCAACAACTAAATTGATATTAACAGCTTTAACTAACTTCCTCACTAATCTTGATAACTAGCTTCTTAACACTCCCCCTCAAGTTGGAGAATGATTCAAGTCTTTCATTCCCAACTTGATCTTAAAACGCTCATGCTGGTTTGTTCCTAAGCCCTTTGTAGAGATATCAACCTGTTGTTCTTTAGTTGAGACATGATTGGTACAAACAACTCCCTTTTGTATTTGTTCACGTACAAAATGACAGTCAATTTCTATGTGCTTCGTTCTCTCATGGTAGACCGGATTTGCTGCAATATGGAGTGCAGCCTGATTATCACAGTACAACGTTGTTGGTTCGTGGTGCTCAATTCCCAGTTCCTTAGTTAATCCCCTAAACCAAACTAATTCTGCTACTGTAGATGTCATACACTTGTACTCAGCCTCAGCCGATGAACGTGAGATGCTATTATGCTTCTTAGACTTCCAGCAAACGAGAGAATCTCCCAACTTAATCCAATAACCAGTAACAGAACGCCTTGACATTGGACAAGCAACCCAGTCAGAATCACAAAATGCTACCAAGTTAGGTCTACTTTTGCTTGAAAACAGAATGCCTTCACCTGGACTTTTCCGTATATACCTCACAACACGCATAGCTACTTCATAATGGATTTTCTTTGTAGTTTGCATGAACTGACTTAAAAGCTGAACAACAAACATTATGTCTGGCCGAGTATGTGTTAAGTAAATGAGCCTTCCAATCAGCCTTTGATACATTCCAATATCTTCCAAGAGCTCATCATATCGATGCTCAAAGTGCATATCATAATCGGATGATGTGAGTTTTTGATTTTTTTCAAGAGAAGTGAAAACACTACGTACATTCCCCAAGACAGAATCTTCAATGAGTTCCAATGCTTATTTCTGCTGACTTAGAACAATTCCTTCTGCATTTCGTACAACTTCAATGCCTAAGAAATACTTGAGCTGCCCCAAATCTTTCATCTTAAAATTCTTATGAAGAATGTTTTTTAACTCCTCCACCATTCCACTATCATTGCCTGTAATCAAGAGATCATCCACATAGATCAACATTATTACCAATTTTTCACCCTCTCATTTTGTGAACAACGAGTAATCGTAAAGACTTTGCACATAACCATTTGCAGTAAGGGCCTCAGTCAATTTTAAGTTCCATTGACGAGATGCTTGTTTCAAGCCATATAGTGACTTGAGCAACCTGCATACTCTAATCTCCCCCTGATTGTGAAAACCATCTGGCAGTACCATGTAGACTTATTCATGAAGATCTCCTTGTAGGAAAGCATTGAAGACATCCATTTGATACAGCTCCCAACCAAACATAGCAGCTATGGCAATGACAGTACGAACAGTAGCTTGTTTTGCCATAGGTGAAAAGGTGTCATAGAAGTCAATACCTTCACATTGACTATAACCCTTAGCAACTAATCGGGCTTTGTACCTTTCAACTGAACCATCAGAGTTGTACTTGATCCGGTATACCCATTTGCAACCAATGGGTCGTTTATTCAGTGGTAAATCGACCACTGCCCAAGTACCATTCGCCTCTAGAGCATGAATTTCATGTTGCATAGCTTCTACCCAACGTTCATCACAAGCTGCCTCATGGTAGGTTTTAGGTTCAACTAGAGATAAGAAAGAAGAAACAAAAGGTGGTGATTGTAAAGGTAAAGGAGAAAAGGAGGTATGATAAGAAGATGAAAGCATACATACTTGCAGTGAAGTAGAAGAGGATTGAGGAGGACGAACAAAGTCAGAAAACCAGGAAGGTGGTTTAGTGACTCGAGTAGAACGTCGCAAAGGAGAAGAACTAGATGCAAGTGACTGACTCGATAACCGGGAGGATGACGGACATAAATTGTTAGAGGCTGGATATACTGAACCAGAAGCTATATTGTCATTATTTCTAGTTCCAAGATCAATTGTAAGTTCATGTACGGGTAAATGATCATTACTTGATTCATTTGGTGTCACAACTGGAATATGCAAAAACTCTCAATCAAGGTCACTGGACAGGGTTGAGATAGGAAACAAATGAGAGGTTTTATCTGGAAACTGAAAAGGAAATATAGATTCATGAAATACCACATCCCGATTAACAAAAAATGACTTTGAACTTAAACTAAAAAGAATATAACCATAAAAACATAAGGAATTGATCTAAAGGAGAATTTGTCATGATTGTTAGGGGTAGTAGCATAGCAAAGACATCCGAATACTCTAAGGTGTGAAAGAGTAGGCACCTTCCCATACAACATTTGAAATGGTGTTTTCCATTGAAGAACCTTGGTTGGCAATCTATTAATTATATAGTACGCAGTTTGAGTACACTCACCCCATAACTTAGTTGGAACAAAAGACTGAAATTTAATAGCACGAGCAACATTAAGAAGATGTTGGTGTTTTCGTTCAGCAACCCCGTTTTGTTGGGGCGTATGAACACAAGAACTTATTTTTTGTTGGGGTGTATTTAAGCAAGCTTAGAAGCCATTGATCAATAACAAGAAACATCAAGCAACTAGAATCAAGAGAGAATCAAAGAGAAAGAATCAAACCTCAAGTTTAAGCATTTCAAGCTTATTTTTTTTCATTTAATATTCATTTTGCTTTCAAGAACACTTAGTGTGCTCAATTGTATTCATTCTTGAGTGTTCTTTTCTTTGTTCTAGAATTGTGCAAACAATCTACCTTGTGAGGATTTCCTTGTAAGTTTGCAAATTTGTATTGTTCTCTTTGAGAGAGTGTGTTCTCAAGAATTTGGGGTATAATTCTTGAGGGTTTGTAAGGTTACTCTTTGTCCTCAAAAGAAAGACAAATTAGTGAATTTGTAGAAAATCCTTAGTGTGGATAGCTAAGGTAGTGGACGTAGACTTTGGTTGAGAAAGTCGAACCACTCTAAATCGTTGTGCAATTACTTTCAATTTTCTGCAAAAGCTTCCACCAAATTTTTAATTGCCAATTCACCCCCTCTTGGCCGATTCCGTCAATCGATTAACTCAACAATTGGCATCAGAGCCTCACTCGTTTGAAGGTTTAATCGCCTCTTGAGTCGATTCGGGAATAGTTAAATCGATAAAAATGACATCTACTTCCGGTTCATTCTCCATGGAAGAATCCAGACCTATTGACGTGCCTCTACACTTCAATGGAACAAATTATCATCATTGGAAGAGGTGTATGATGATATTCATCAAAGCATTTGATATGGAAGCTTGGATGATAATCAAGAAAGGATATTCCTCTCCTACTAAGAAGGCAAAGAAGTGGAGTGTTCAAGAACGGAAGGAAGCTCAACAAAACTCAAAGGCTATGCACATATTGTGTTGTGCAATTGATCCTAATGTATATAAAGGAGTTTCTTCTTGTTCAAGTGCCAAGGAAATGTGGGATAAGTTTGAGGAGATCTATAGAGACAAGGAAGAAGAAGAATCAATAAAGTGATGTCTCTATTAGCTCTCACAGAGCCAAATGTATCTTCTAACTCAAATATATCAAATTCAAAATCTTTTAATGAGTTACAAGATGCTTATGATAAATTATTTTCAGAGTTTGAGACCATGAACTCCAAATAAAATAGATTGATTTCTAAATTTATTGCTAAAAATGATCTTCTTTTGAAAGCTAAAACAGACTTGGAAAATCAAAATGAAATGTTGAGAAATGAGTTAGAGCTTTCAAAAATAAAATCTGAAAACTTTGAAAAATAAATTTTCAAATTAAACAAACTTCTAGAAATGAAAATGGATTTTGAAAATCAAAATGAAATCTTGAAGAAGGATTTAGAACTCTCAAAAATGAAATTTGAAAGTATTGAAAAATAAAATTTTAATTTGAAAGATAAGCTTGAATGTTTAACAAGGGAAAAAGAGATCATTCTAAATAATTCATCTAGTTCAATAATGACAATATGTTCACATTGTCATTATCATGGTCATAAGGAACATATTTGTCCTTTAAAGAAAGGAAAACGAATTAAAATTAGACAAGTATGGGTTCCAAAAAGAACAAGAGGCATTGAAACTAATGTTCAAGGATCCAAAGCAATTTGGATACCAAAATCTACTTAAATGTCTCTTGTAGGTGTGTGAGAGCAATGGTGATAAAGATGATGATATTCAAGATGCTCTAGCCACACATAAAAAGGGAATGGGTAACCTCTAAACTTAATGTTTTTATTATTTGGTTGCTCATTTAGTTTATGCATGCATGAGGTTTTAAAATGTTGAATTATGTTTTATCTCATGTATGTTGAAAAATATTGTATGATGAACATCGTAATTTTTGGTAATGTTTTATAAACTGTAGTTCATCATATTAATTTTTGGTCAAATTTGTTTTTAAAATGTAATTTATATCTCTTTAACAATTGATATCGATTTTTCAAGAACTTTGGTTTTGCAAAATTTTGATCTGAAATTTTTCTTAATGTTTATGCATAGATTTTTGTTTAAATATTATAAAGTTTTAATGCATAACATTTTCAAAAACTTTATGCATGTGCTCTTAATCTCTATAATCAATATTGCATAATGTTTTATATGTGAATGGGTTAAAAGCATAATCTTTTAAAAAATAAATTTGATAAAAGATACAATGTTTTATTTTAAATAATTGCAAAATTGATTGACATTTCATCTATTTTCGATTATGCTTGTTGGTCATAAAATAGGGATATATACATGATGCATTTAGATTTTATTAATATGACTATTTTGTGCCTAGTTGCTAGGGATGAGCATGATGATTTGTTATGGCATAGGAGACTAGGATATGCTAGTATAAGTGTTTTGCAACGGTTAGTTCAAGGAGAATTGGTTCGAGGGTTGCCTAAACTAAAATTTGA